CCTTCGTGCAGCTTTCCGCTAACCAAAAAGACTACAAGCTCATTACACCACGTACTTACCCCATCTTGACCTCTCTTCCGCTAGTCCTGGATTTCCATCAGCGTTTCCTCAGGCGTTTGATGTTTTTAATATTACTGTGTGCAAATAATTTGTTTTCTCGTTTTACTTAAGCTTTTTGTCGCTAACATAAAAGGATAAATTCTGAACAGCTTTAAAGAGTATTAAATTCCGTGTTTGGCTGTGCTCGCGAGTTCTGTCAGTCGCGTGACTGGTTTGTGGACATTTTTATATTCGACCTCGATGATCTTCAATGGCGGTGAAGCTAGTTTATATCGGTGAGTAGTAGCTTTTTTTATCTTTCTAGCTTTAATGTAGCCTTATAGATCGCTACATAAATAATAAATATACTGTGTCTCGTTGAATTGATATCAAAACACTCCTCAGGTGTGTAGTAAACTTGAAATAGTTGTGGTGTTCTTTAGGAGCAGAGTTTAAAAAAACCCTTTTGAGGTGAATTAGGGAGCTTTAGAGGAATTTTATAGGGGTGGAAAACGATTTTAGGGGGTTTTGTTGAAACAAGAAATACCTTATCATGACAGATTTTTCTTTGTGGGATGAGGTTGGAGGGATGTATTATGCACCTATCAGTAAACCCCGAGCGGGGGGCGGGGGGGGGGAGGGGGGAAGGGAAGGGCATAATACTAATTGACAGACAAGAAATTTTTATTTCACATACCTTTTAAGTTGAATGTTTCAAACGAGGGAGGGCAAGCTTACATTACCCTGCGAGCAGGTAGCCAAAAGAATCACATCGCATTTGCAGAAAATGCAAACAGAAAATTGACGGTGCTATTAAGAAGGTAGAAGTAGGCAAGAGATTTTTCAACTGATATGGAGTTAAGGACTTGATGGTAGGAACGTTAAACTCTTTTTAAGCCTTCTGAACCACTTTGTCAAAACTTTCGTGGGAGAAAGCCATCTTCCACTTCTTGTATATCATCCTGGGCTCAGTTTAGTAAAGCAATCGCTCTGAAATTGATGCGCGTGAGTGGTTCAACTGAATAAAACCAGTTTTAAAACCAGTTAGTCACGTGTGTACCTCCAAGATTTTGGAGGTTTGTAAAGAGCATGCTCAGTAGAAATCACAGGCAGCTTTCCACAGAGGTTTCTCACAGGGCATAAACAAACCAACTACATTACAGACAAGACACGCGAATGACTTCGTAAATGCTAAAAACCATGCAAGAGAGAAAACTCCGCTCGCAGGGTAATCTTGCATATACAAACCAACATATTTGCAACACGCTTTTTTAACTATTTACTGTACATACACATTCAGGAAGGATGATCCTGTGAAACCACACTCAATACTTGCTGCCGAAAAAACATCAAGTGCCCCATCCCCCAAGCAAGTGTTCAGGATCAAACCTACCACCCAGGGGATAGATTTGATATCAAATCCCTGCCTATTGCCCACGCTCCAGCCTCAAGGGGTTTACATTGATATAGGTGCATTAAATATTTAAGGGAGGGGCTAATCCCTTATCTCAGAGTCTGAATGAGCTGCCTCCTCCAATTACCTGAAGTAATCTGTGGCAATCTGAAGCATACACTACCTACTGGACAACAAGAAAATTTTGGGGTATACCAGTCAATTTTGCTTATTCCATCTCCATACACTTGCTGAGAACTGTATCAAAGTTCCCAGCCAACAGCTATCACTTTTTGTGTTTGGTGAAGCTGGTGCTCTAAGGAGTGCTTTTGCACTAACCTTGGCGGTAAATGGCAGGGATTGTGATCCCAAGTGAGATCTCTCACCCAGGCCTCTACAATGCTGATAAGTACTAATGAGGACGTTGGAATCAGCTAGCCTGCATGTCCATGGCTACCACTGCCTGCATTTGTACTGCTGTGTGCATGTGTAAGGTACTGGCCATGCTGTGGAGTTGTTAGTGTGTGCTTCAGTGCTGAAATTGGTACCAATTATATGGGTCAGAGTGGTCCTATTAGTCACATGGCTCTGTTTGCTGAAGTTGCTGCTGCAAAGCTGCTTTGATGCTTGAACCATATATAACAATACTAGGATTCCAGCTAACCAGAATGCAAATTTTCCATGATCTAATCAAGTTTACCAAGCTTTGTATTGCCCTCAAAAAGCTTAAACCCAGCCTGATGTTAATTTACTTGAAGTATAGGGATGTAAGCACTAGACCATATAAACATCAAGTCTCTTTATTTGTCATGAAAATTTTCAGGTTTGGTTATTTTGGCATTTATGAAGACATTGGCTTTTGGTAAAGGTAAAATGCACAATATTGTAATCTTTAAGGGGAAATTCTGAGTGCCTTTGAACGACACTGACAGTAATAATGAGAAAGTATGGAACAGGGTAGTGGGTGGGGGGGGGGGGATTTATCTTCTTTTTTTTTTAATAATACGGCCCCCCCCCAAATCTACACCCTTTCCCCACCCCACCCTCCTCCCAACCCCCCAAAAAAAAAAAAAAAAAAAATTCTCGGGAAGACCCCATCCCCTGTTTTCGCTGCTGATGTTGACATTAAAAGCTGTCCTTGTAATAAGCTCTTGAATAAACAATGTTTTACAACTGATTACATTGCTAAATGAAAGAAACATGAAACAGAGTCAGTGCAGCCTTCCCTTGCTTTAAAGCGGCAACTTCACTCACTTTGATACGTAACCATAGTTAACCATGGAAGCTCATTTAATTCTACGGACAAGCAACTCCGTCTCTACCTCGGCATGTTCCCCATTTTGGGAAAAAAACAATTTGACGAATAAGAAAATAAAAAAGGGAAGGACAGACGAGAAGAAGAAGTGGATTATCACTCAAGTTACTTTTCCCGAGATGTTGATTGGTCTTCACCACTGTACGTCACTGAATATAACTGCCCACTGAAAATGGTGTAGAGAATGGTCACCGGCCAGACAAACGAAAGGCCTTTCAAGACTGAAGGCTTATTTCACTTATTACTCTTCTTTGCCCAAATATACATGCTCTTTTAGTTTAGCCTTCAACTAATTTAATGTAATTTTCCAAATCGCGATTTCCTTTATATGGTACGCTTGCGCTGCTTGTGGTGATTTACCAGCCTTTGAGTAATACGGTACATTATATGTCCCCATATATTCACTACACTGTCCTTCGTGCAGCTTTCCGCTAACCAAAAAGACTACAAGCTCATTACACCACGTACTTACCCTCTCTTGACCTCTCTTCCGCTAGTCCTGGATTTCCATCAGCGCTTCCTCAGGCGTTTGATGTTTTTAATATTACTGTGTGCAAATAATTTTTTTTCTCGTTTTACTTAGGCTTTTTTTTGCTAACATAAAAGGGTAAATTCTGAACAGCTTTAAAGAGTATTAAATTCCGTGTTTGGCTGTGCTCGCGAGTTCTGTCAGTCGCGTGACGGTTTGTGGACATTTTTATATTCGACCTCGATGATCTTCAATGGCGGTGAAGCTAGTTTATATCGGTGAGTAGTAGCTTTTTTTATCTTTCTAGCTTTAATGTAGCCTTATAGATCGCTACATAAATAATAAATATACTGTGTCTCGTTGAATTGATATCAAAACACTCCTCAGGTGTGTAGTAAACTTGAAATAGTTGTGGTGTTCTTTAGGAGCAGAGTTTAAAAAAACCCTTTTGAGGTGAATTAGGGAGCTTTAGAGGAATTTTATAGGGGTGGAAAACGATTTTAGGGGGTTTTGTTGAAACAAGAAATACCTTATCATGACAGATTTTTCTTTGTGGGATGAGGTTGGAGGGATGTATTATGCACCTATGAGTAAACCCCGAGCGGGGGGCGGGGGGGGGGGGGGGGGAAGGGAAGGGCATAATACTAATTGACAGACAAGAAATTTTTATTTCACATACCTTTTAAGTTGAATGTTTCAAACGAGGGAGGGCAAGCTTACATTACCCTGCGAGCAGGTAGCCAAAAGAATCACATCGCATTTGCAGAAAATGCAAACAGAAAATTGACGGTGCTATTAAGAAGGTAGAAGTAGGCAAGAGATTTTTCAACTGATATGGAGTTAAGGACTTGATGGTAGGAACGTTAAACTCTTTTTAAGCCTTCTGAACCACTTTGTCAAAACTTTCGTGGGAGAAAGCCATCTTCCACTTCTTGTATATCATCCTGGGCTCAGTTTAGTAAAGCAATCGCTCTGAAATTGATGCGCGTGAGTGGTTCAACTGAATAAAACCAGTTTTAAAACCAGTTAGTCACGTGTGTACCTCCAAGATTTTGGAGGTTTGTAAAGAGCATGCTCAGTAGAAATCACAGGCAGCTTTCCACAGAGGTTTCTCACAGGGCATAAACAAACCAACTACGTTACAGACAAGACTCGCGAATGACTTCGTAAATGCTAAAAGCCATGCAAGAGAGAAAACTCCTCTTGCAGGGTAAGCTTACATGTACAAACCAACATATTTGCAACACGCTTTTTTAACTATTTACAGTACATACACATTCAGGAAGGATGATCCTGTGAAACCACACTCAATACTTGCTGCCGAAAAAACATCAAGTGCCCCATCCCCCAAGCAAGTGTTCAGGATCAAACCTACCACCCAGGGGATAGATTTGATATCAAATCCCTGCCTATTGCCCACACTCCAGCCTCAAGGGGTTTACATTGATATAGGTGCATTAAATATTTAAGGGAGGGGCTAATCCCTTATCTTGGAGTCTGAATGAGCTGCCTCCTCCAATTACCTGAAGTTATCTGTGGCAATCTGAAGCATACACTACCAACTGGACAACAAGAAAATTTTGGGGTATACCAGTCAATTTTGCTTATTCCATCTCCATACACTTGCTGAGAACTGTATCAAAGTTCCCAGCCAACAGCTACCACTTTTTGTGTTTGGTGAAGCTGGTGCTTTAAGGAGTGCTTTTGCACTAACCTTGGCGGTAAATGGCAGGGATCGTGATCCCAAGTGAGATCTCTCACCCAGGCCTCTACAATGCTGATAAGTACTAATGAGGACGTTGGAATCAGCTAGCCTGCATGTCCATGGCTACCACTGCCTGCATTTGTACTGCTGTGTGCATGTGTAAGGTACTGGCCATGCTGTGGAGTTGTTAGTGTGTGCTTCAGTGCTGAAATTGGTACCAATTATATGGGTCAGAGTGGTCCTATTAGTCACATGGCTCTGTTTGCTGAAGTTGCTGCTGCAAAGCTGCTTTGATGCTTGAACCATATATAACAATACTAGGATTCCAGCTAACCAGAATGCAAATTTTCCATGATGTAATCAAGTTTACCAAGCTTTGTATTGCCCTCAAAAAGCTTAAACCCAGCCTGATGTTAATTTACTTGAAGTATAGGGATGTAAGCACTAGACCATATAAACATCAAGTCTCTTTATTTGTCATGAAAATTTTCAGGTTTGGTTATTTTGGCATTTATGAAGACATTGGCTTTTGGTAAAGGTAAAATGCACAATATTGTAATCTTTAAGGGGAAATTCTGAGTGCCTTTGAACGACACTGACAGTAATAATGAGAAAGTATGGAACAGGGTAGTGGGGGGGGGGGGGGGGAAGGGAGTTGGGGGCAAGGACAATTTTTTTAAAACAGATCAACAGATTTTGCGAACTTTCCCCTCACCCATGACCTAATAAATGAAAGCCCCTTAATACCAACAAACAGTGGATCTTCGCTCAATTAGCCTGTGAACGGCGGATGTTTCTCCTCACTCATCGCCGCTGAGGGACGTTTTGTGAAGAGGAACGTCTGCAACTCAGTGACAGAAATTCCATACTGATGACGTAAATCAATGTTTACATAATAAATCCGGTAGTCATGGGATTCCAAATGCAAATTTGTTCAATTTTACATTTCTCCTTGTCGATTTTGGAAAAGTGTTGTGTTCATCTGCGAATGAGCTCCAGCAAAACTCAAAAGCTTCTTTTAGAGAAGACTATATTCCACACATATTGACTGTTTTGTTAGAGATTCATCGTGTTTACATTTGACCTTTGCTGCTTTTTGTCTTTTGTCTGTCATTCGTAAACAATAGCTAAAACAATGAAACTACTCCGTCGACCAATTAGCGCTTCTGACTGGATTCCAGACAGTTTTTGCATCATCAGTATGGAATTTCTGTCGCTGAGTCACAGACATTCCTCCTAGCAAAACGTCCCTCAGTGGCGATGAGCGAGGAGAAATGCAAACCCAAATTAAAATTGACAGACTTTTGTGAAGCTCCTCTCTATATGCTGCACCCTCATTATAAGCTTTTTGTTAGAGTGGCCATCTTGACTGTCAAGGGCCTTCATTTTGCTTTAGAAAAAGGGTGGTTGACTAAGGAATCCTGAGCTCAAGATAGAACAGAGTTCCAACCTGTATACAACCTATATTTAATCAATGAAATAAAAAATAACATTTTGAATATTGTTTGGATTGGTATTTTCTACCCACATTTACTTCACTGTGGTTTCAAAAAAGGAACTCAGTTTTCTGTTACTGGGCAACAAACTCAAACAGGACCACCACAACTTAAACGTTTAAGGATTTAAAATGATCTGATTTTTATTGGCTAATCAATTTTCAAATTAAAGGCAGGCTCTTTTGCAGTATACCTGGCCTGACCTGTAGTTGGCGGTTATAGTGTTGGAAGGGCCTTGTTGAGTTCTTTGCACTATTACTGCCCTGTTCAAGATATTTAAAATTGTTGTTGTGATACAGTAAAACGTTTGTGCTTGTAAAATGATATCCCATTCTTTGAGATGTCTCAAATTTCCTTGGATGCCACAGTAGCAATATGGGATTTCAAAAATAATCAAAGGCCCATTGGAGAATACAGACCCATTCATAGGAGGGGGGCGTAAGGCGGGTACGAACACCGCAAAACCACACAGAAATACATAAAAACACCACACAGAATAACATATAAGAAAACGGCAAACTGAGCTTGGTTTTGTAAAACCGCAATACCGCAACTTAAAGTAAAAATTTCGGCAAAACCGCACCAAAAATCTAGAAAAATGCATCAGTGCAAACCCTTACGCCCCCCCCCTCATAGGTGTACCAGTATCCTACTCCTAAGAACAAAGCACCAATTAAAGTTCTTAAAAACTAATTTTAATGAACAGTAATTGACAGTGGTACATTTATGTTTATATTTCTTATAGATTGGGAGTGTATTTCGAACAAAACTTTGGATGCCCCTGTGTCACCTACGGAAAGCACATTTTACATCCGTCAGCCTCCTTTTGGCTTTCCTTTGAAGTCTTGTGGATGGTTCATCACGGCTCCTGAGAATCATATTGTTAAGGTACAATTTTCAAAATCCTTGTTGCTGCTTGAATACAGCCGTGTTTACGTTTATGATGTGGATGGCTCAGATCTCCACTTTGCGGACCGCCCATCTTACTCGACGGTTTTCTCAAAGTATCGACATCTGTACATTGTTTTTAAATATGACAATTTAGATGTCATCAAGAAGCAGATAGTTGTTGGTTACACAGCCTTTAAACCAGGTATAAAACCAGTTTTATCTTTTTGTCATAGACTTAGTTATACTCTTTTTACAGGCTGGCAATATGTCTACTGAAGGTGTGCCACTAGGATAGGCTCTGCCAGGCTCTCACATAGTAAGGGACAATATAAAAACAATGCAAAGTAAAAATAACATCTGTGCCTGTAGACAGAGACAGCACCCTACAGGGGCGGATCCAGGATTTTTTTTAGAAGGGGGTGCACTCGTCTCTTGCTCTACTTCAACACCAATAAACCACATAGTATTTTTTTTTGGGAGAATACTAGTTGTATTAGAAAACCGCAGGAAATCTCTGGAGGGGGGGGGGGTGTGCACCCCCTGCACCCTCCCCCTAGATCCGCCCCTGCCCTAGGTGCAATAGGCCATCTGCACTAAGAGGTCATGTGATATCGTTTTTTTGAAAATGAAAGATATATGATTTTGCCTTCTTAAAACCATTAGTGGGTCATATCTAAAATAAAATAATAGTTATGTGGTTTTTTAAACCCGCACCATTTTCTTAAAATGAGTGGTAAGTTCGTAGCTGGTCACGTGACCAAAATGTGATTTTTGAAGTTATGAATTATCTCTTTCTGAACTCCAATTTTGCAGTTAAACTTCAACGAAAATGTTGAAAATATGATGTGGAAACGTTTACAGCACATCTGAGCGTAACTATCAAACGTTTAACAAGATATAAGCTAAAAGTAGTTTTGGCCGATAAGTTGGAGGGCAAGAGTATGCCCTCCAACATGGCGGCCAATACAAATCTTACTACTTTGTTGAAAAATAAAAGTGCCATGAAATATCTCCCTTAAATGCGCTTCCTCTCAAATTTCGGGTGTAAGTCAGATAATTTTTATGTGCTCTGTCAATTTTTGGCATGAGCGAGATTCCAACTCATCGTTTAAAGGAAGCGTTAGTCACGTAACCTCTTAGTGCAACAAGTGGCCTATTTCAATGCTTGAGTTCGTATCGAAACGACTGTGTATCGAAATGACCAGTTAGAGGATTGTAGGAACAAGCCAAAGGCAAGAGGGAGCACCTGCCTCATCTAGATTTTAACCCACAGTTAAAAATTTTTGCTGGTAAAGTAGACACCAGTTGACTTACATTGATTTTTGCTGAAGAATACCTCGACAGAAGCACGTTTTAGAGCTTCTAGATTGAAAACTTTTCTGTGGGGCGTGCTCTCGTCCCTCGACCATACCAAAAGTCTGGCTACAGCCTTGAGCTAGCCTGTTCCAGGCTCTCAGATAGTGGGGAAGGCGCGAAAGTGATTGGCTTGCGAAAAGTTGGCGGGGCGTTATTTTCGCGTTCGCGCTGTCTCAATTTAGCGGACCCGAGTATCTAGGAGCCTGGACCAGGCTAGCTTTAAGCAGACCGATTGGTTGGTATAAAAACAGACAACTTATATACTACCATGTAGAGCAATTTTATCTTCGCGTTTTGAAGAATCAGACTACAACTGGCGCAGACACACGAGTCAAGCCCAGTCGGTATACACGTGCACGCGGAAAAAGAGTCGATTGATCAATATGATGAAAGTATCATATTGTATAGCCCATCACAAAGCGTTTAAGCGCTAAATATTATTTGGGGTTATTTGGGGCGCTCATGCCAAGGAGGGTATTGGAGGGGACGGTTTCTTCCCAAAAACCCGCAACGAGTACCCCCAGGGGAAATCTACATGGGGGTAATAATTTTCTGCGGCGTGATTATTTCTTACTGACGTTTCTCCGTTGCAACGTTGCAAGTGACAGTATTATTGATAGTACTTCTCGTCTTTAAACAGGGAGGGTGTGCTCAACCCAGAATTCCTATGATCAAAACAAAAACATCTTGCTCAGAAATCTGTCTGGTGTGATAAAGACTCCGGGCTTTCCGTTGGGGTACTCCGACAACTCAGTCCGCGATTGCTATTGGAGGTTAATAGCCCCGAAGGGAAAAGTGGTGCGCTTGACGTTCGAAACCTTTCAACTCCATCCTGGCGACGAGGTTGAAATTAATAATGGCAGGTATGACTGGTATCCATGGGTACTCAACAAAAGGAACACAGAACCTTCATTTACAGTATTCTCAACAGAACGCGAGCTTGGTATTCGTTTTGACATATACGGGAATTATCATCACGGTAGTGCTACGGGATTCGCTGCGAATTACTCCATGATACCTGGGGGTAAGAAAAGTTTTTAAACTTGGGTCATTAGACGTTTCTGGGAAACTGTCCACCTACCCCTCCCCTAAGCCGTCATGAAACTGTCCACCTACCCCTCCCCTAAGCCGTCATGAAACTGTCCACCTACCCCTACCCTGAGTCGTCTTTAACCCTTACTTCTCACTTAAGGCAAAATGTTGGCTTAGGGGAGGGGTAGGTGGGCAGTTTCCCAGAAACGTAAAATGATCCCCAAAGGGCTTGCTCTGCGAAAATGTTTGGGACATTTTGTTAAGTTTCAACCTCTATGTCTGCAAAAATCACCAACAAATTATTATGGTTCGTGCTTCCTGATAAAAATTTGTTCGATGTCGTCGTCTTAACTAACTGTACAGAAGCATTTTCGTTATGGGAAAAAGAAATTTAATAAAGACTTAAGCAATGATGTGACCTTAAATAGCAATGTACTCGTGACATACCCCTTTTATCATAACCAGTCTGTTCTTCTTAGTTTCCTCAGGAGCTTGCTAAACCAAAGAGAACCGTACTATGTACTGAGGTACACGGAGAGTGGAGGAGCTCTTAACACTGGGCTATCCACAAATCCCTGGGGATGGTGACATAACCCTGTTAAAATAACTACTCTGTTTTTCTTAGTTTCCTCAGGAGCTTGCATACCCAAAGAGAACAGTACTATGTACATACGTGGAGAGGGGATGAGCTTTTCTACACGCGACTATCCACAAAACCCTGGGGTTGGAACCTGCAGTTGGAATATCAGTGCTCCGCTTGGGTACTTCATAAAGCTCTCTTTTTGGAGATTCTTGGGGTTGTGCAACCAGAGCTATGCGGAAGTGTTTGATGTTTCGAGCTCCACTACTGTGTTTTTAGGAAAGTATTGTGATTATTATTTAAACAAAACTATGATTTACTCAAAAGGAAATAACGTAATCGTTAAGTTTTCGCAACTTTCAACTTCACCTGAACAAGGCGGGCTGATCGCAACGTACGAAGCTTTAAAGACGGTCCCAGCGCGGTACTCTTGTTCCAGAGAAAACACACGCATCAACCTTCGGGGCCTTCATGGTGAACTCGCAAGTTTAGACTATCCTCTTCTGTACCCTAACAATGTTGCATGCTCATGGGATATTGAAGTTCCGACAGGATATCTTATCCAGCTCACCTTTCATTCATTTGCTCTGGAATATTCTCCAAAATGTCGAGCGGACTATGTGGAGATTAAACAGGGTATGGACATTTCCTGGTCCACTGTGATCGGAAGGTACTGTGGAACATCTCTGCCCCCAGTTCTTCTCTCAAACTACCCCAAAGTTTACATTGACTTTGTAGCTAATAGCTTGGCAAGATATCGGGGATTCCACGCGAGCTTCACTGCAGTGCCCGACCGTAAGTAAAGCTGGTTTTTAGTGCCTTAACGGTTTATAACAAAGCCATAAGAGTAATCAGCATACTGATACCTTAACAATTTCTCCCCACTACTTCTATGGGAAACGTATAGAGAAAACAATTGAGAATTTAAATTTTGATATTAAGGTTTAAAAGGTTAATGGTGCATTTTGAGGTTGCGCTTGAGTCTGGGGCGGTGTTTTGCACCTTTTCTTTTTTGTCCATGCAGCTGAATTGCTTTGTGGCGAAGTTCGTTTCTCAATCAACAATATCAACAAATTTATTTCACTGCGCTACCCAAACACAGCAAAAGCTGGTTACAAACAAATAGAAACAGTTATGGTGTTCACAACAGCTACAAAATTTCAGAGAATAATTAATTACGTAAAATTTACACAATATAGCTAGTTCTACTTTATATGTTTGTGTTATGTTTTTGTAGGCGCCTTTTCAAACGCATCGTTTGATACGTTTATAGATATAATAAGCCTTCTAGCTCATAAATGACGGATGTCCCCGGTCAAAGTACGGTAGCGTATATGATATTGTCATTTGCACTGTTAAATAATTTGTGCTGTTGATCTACGTTGACTAAAAGACGTGTTTTAGAAATGAAAGTGAGGACTTGTCGGCGCCAGGCAAAGTAGTTTTCGTTCTTGTGTGCTGTTAAGCATGTTTAAACGGAAGAAAAATCGTTATTTAGAGAAACATGGAGAATTTTTATCATGATATTTACTAACTGTTAAATGTTTGAGAGCAAGCAAGGTTTATTATGGGCAAAGCGAGCGGAATGGCGAATGCCACACTTAATTGACCCTCGCCAAAGAAGTTATCATCCTTGTCCATGTATTTGGAGTAATGTATAATTTTTCTTTCTTTTGATTGCCTTTTTCAACTGCTTGCTTTAATTTACAGCGTCTGTAGGGCCCTGCAATAGCAAAGGAACCATTACCATGTCTGGTAAAAGAGGACGACTATTCTCACCTCGTTATCCCAAACCAACCCCTCCCAGAAGTATCAACTGTACGTGGATGATAACAGTCCCCAAAGGAAATTTTGTGAAGTTGCGATTAACCTCTATCAAGTTAGACGTAGATTGCAGCCCTCATTCCACCTTCGAAATTCGTGACGGTCAAAATTCCTCCAGCCGCTTGTTGAGGTCAATCTGTGAGCAGCCGTTTTACGGGTCCTCCTTCTTCTCTAGTGGTCGCCATCTTTGGGTTTGGTTTCAGAGTCCGAAGCAGGATTGGACTTACTACTTCACGTTCAGCGCATAGTTTGAGGCGGTCACACAATGTAAGTACAATAGACCTTATTCACGATTTCCGCCATCTTTTCACACAGTTTGGGACTGATGGGATAAAAATGATGTCACTTAGTTTCTCAGGAGGCCAACAAGTGATAAACTAGAAATCACGGTCAAGTTTGTTTATTCTAGTCGGCAGAAAATAGACAACTTTTCATCTGAAAAACGAGAATGCAAATTATGGATGGGACTGAACATTGTTACTTTTTTGGATGGAGTAGCGGCCGTAATTGCAATTGGGACAAAAGTTCATCGGTGTAATAGCTGTGGCGATTGCATTAGACTAAACTAAACAAACTGAACTAGATGTCCTCAAAGCAAGCAATAATGACGTGTAAAAATTGTCAAAACTCGAACTGTACATTTTGCATGACTAAAATCGTCAAGTGGTTTGAGAGAATAAACTAACTCGATGGCGATTACTTGTATAGACCTCTTTCATAATGACTGTCTATTAATATATTCTTTTATGTATTTATGATAATTAGCCTTTCTCACCTCGTTAGCATGTGAAAAAATACAAAAGAATTCGTACTTTCAAACGAGGTCAGAAAGGCTAATTATCATACATATAAAAGAATATATCAATAAACCGCCATTATGAAAGAGGTCTATTTGAAA